AAACCCTGAATCCGGATCTCTTCGAACGATTGACAACCAATTTGTATCCAGGATACTTTCGAAACACATCCCGAGGACGTCCATCCAATCAATAAACTTCGTACATCCCCAGTAAAAAGGCAAAAAAATAGAGATTATCCGAATTTTCCAAACAGTCGTCAACCAACAAAGGCCACTGAATCCTGAATATTTCAAACCCTCGACAACCATCTTAAACCTAGAATACATTTCAAACGACACCCCGAGGACGTCCATCAAATCGATAAACTTCGTACATCCTCAGTAAAAAAAATAAAAAAATAAAAACTGGAGATTTCAGAATTTTCCAAAAGACGATCCACAAAATTGCATATAACCTCGCCAGAGGTTTAGTAACCGTTTGGTAGGGCCAGAAAGTCGAGCGTGGTGCGAACGACCGAAGGTAACTCGAGCGAATTAGATCCTGCTAATTCGAGTGTTGGCACCGGTGCCAGTGCACTGCGGCCGGGGTGACTGCATCGTCCTGTTGGGAAGTGGGTTACGAATGTACTCGGCGAGAAAGTACATACATACATACAACGTCGAGCAGCCAGCGGGCCGATCCATCGCGGCTCGTTTCGCCGTGGAAGATTAGGCGCGGCTCGTCTCCGGTCCGCATCGATGCGATCGCATTATATCGGGTTCAACGTGTGCCGATCGTTCAAGAAGATTCAGGCCGAACTGTGGTACGGCTTCGACTACAACCTATCACTGTATGTATGTGCATGTGCACATCGACGGGTCTTTTTCACAGCTCGATACGTATATACCACGTACTTACACGTCCGTGGAATGCGGCTGTGCCAAATTCCAAAGAGCGACGCAACAACGCGCTCGATGTCTGTGTGTTCCGCGTGGTTTCGAGGTCAGGGAAGAAACGGCTATTTCACGGGACTAGGAAATCGTCTCTTCTCGGATCCCGTCCCGTGTGTTCGGCGTATCGTGTTTCCTCCGACCGTACGCGACGGTCAGAAATGGAGTTCGGTGCCACGGCTCGGCCAGACGTGTCGGTTCGGATGTTCGAGGGCTCTCGTTGGTAGATTTTTAACACTAGAACTAACGACGGTAAACGGATATTTGCTTCGATCGATGGATAAATTTTTGAACATTTAGAAGTCGAGGAATTTCTTCAATTTCATATCGTAATAAAAGGTACAAAAGATCTGAGAAAATGTATTGTCATGATATTTTAATCGTCGTTGTAAGAGTGTATTGACAAGTCATTTTGACTTGCTTGGTAGTTCTAGTGTTAAAGAGTATTTAATTTATTGGGTGGTAAGGTTGAGGACACTGGGATTTCTTTTCGTAGTTTTTTTCTTTAACTTTGGGTACCACTAGAAATTGTTTTCTTTGAGGCAAAGTGAAATACTCGATTGTCGATATTAATACTTAAGTTTTAGAGCAAATGTACAATTCCTTTTGTTTCTGAGGAATTATTGGTGATAAAGTCATTCTGGAGACTGTAGATATCAAGGAAATCATAGGACAAGGGGTTAAAGAACCTGTAGTTGTTTTTATAAATTTTTATTAATACGTTGACTGCCAGCTACGAGATAATTCGTAGTTGAAACATTGCAAACATGCTAGATTATTTAAATACCTCTACAAAATTTTGACATAAGATTAATATCACAGTATAATTCAAAACAAGACAAGCAATCTCTATTAATCAAACACATATATTTTCAAAGATTTATGACTTAAAAAACGAAATAACGTGTGTCTGGCTACATACTGCCTTTTCCACTGCGGCAAATCATTAAACTGCTCGGAGGCTAGATGTGTACGGTGTTCTTAAAGAAACATCCAATTGTTTCTATAAATTTTATAAAATATAATAACTGTAGTTTACAAAATAATTCGAGTTTGTTAATGAACGAAGATCATATATGAAATGGTATCATATATGAGACAGTGAATACTGCTATTGTATAGAGCGACTCAAAACTGCATATACTCATAATTTTTTTTAACAGAGTATGGATAATCTAAAGAATGAAGTATCCCTAGATTATACAAACAAAAGAAACAATGAATATATCTATCATAATATGAAGTTTAAAATAAATGACACAAGAGAATACTGTCTTTAGCTTACGAACTCTTTAATTCTACTGGAATTACGATCACACTAGAGTGCACTTTTAATCTTCCAATTCTATTCTGTATCTTCTAATTAATATACTCGATAAAGTTCCAAAAACGCTTGGAAGAGACCGTTGTTGTCTAAATTTCATGTTTTTTCCCAACTCAACGTTCCGTGCAGCGTGGGCATTTACCGTAAGCGAAACTCGTTTTATTTCTCCCGAGAGAATAGCCGTTGCGCGATTCGCCAGAAACGGAACAGCTGATCGTCTGCCTCGTTGCGGAGAATATAGAAAAATAAAAACGAGATAGTAATTTTTCGAGCTCTGAGCTCGACGAGTGGGCACTAAAACAGTTATTGCTGATCATAGTTCATTCGTCGTAGTACACGCAGTCTTTCAAGAACTCTGTTTCAGAATCTTATATTCTTTTAGTATACAGAATGCTGAAACTGTAATTATCTTTACTGTCAGTAATAACTGCAAATTCTGAACCCAATGATAATCGTTTTCTACCATATCATTATTCGAAATTGTAATCTACCCTATTCTCCACATAATTTCTTATACCGTTAGAAGTTCATACTCAACAATCAAATGTAAAAAAAGGTATAATTATGTGTATTAGAATGAAGGTGCTGAGTGGAAACCATTACTGTCATTCGTAAATTACAGGCAGCAGTCAATGGCCAATTAACACTCATCACGAGTAGAAGTTATGTGTCGTCAGAAGCTAGATCAATTGTATAAAGTAAAAAAAAAAATGTGTTTCTTCGGATCAGCTACCTACAGGCTAGATCATAGTTTCCCAATCTTTTTTGGCTCACCGCCTACTTTCAAAATTTTTGTTTATTCAACGCCCCCTTCGGTTAAATTATCTCTACTCTCAAAATTTCCAACCGATCTTATAAACCTAATAAGTTACATTGAAATTAAGAAAATAATATAACTGTAACGACTCTTCAAATCTCCCCAGCGCCCATCATTGGGTGGTCCCATTTTGGGAACATATGGGCCAGATGATCAATCGTCCAACCAAATGAAAAAGATCAAATCGTATACCGATCCGACCATCCCAACCCGACGGGAATCGGACGAAATTAGAAATACCACCGCTGGTACGAGCGCACAATTTCAAAATTACCGTACACCCTCGGTGTATTCCCGATCGAGGACTACGTTTACATTGTTATGCTCATTGAGCGAATTAATGCACCGTTCCATATAACCGGACGCAAGGACGCGAGGCGGGGGCGTCCTTGGAATTACCGCGAATCATTACCTTCGTTAACGAGGTTCTTAACAAGACCAGACGAAAAATGAAGAAAAACAAGTAAAGAAGAAACAGAATAAAAATCGATCGGGTGTACTCACTGCAGAGTGTCAGTGATTATGCGGACGGATGGTTGCCGCGGTATGCAACCGCATCGCTGTCCGGAGTCTGCGAGTGCGCGCCGATCACGATCAATCGGATATCTCCTCGTGGGCGCGCGATTTCTCTATGTTTTTACCACCGTCACTGGCATCCTCAGCCTCCTTTCTTCCGGTCTAAGCTTCCCGGGGATGGCTGTATCGATCACCAAAAACCGCGATCACAAAATTCGAGTCACTTCGAGATCCCGACTTCACACTCTGTTACCGGTTTCAACGTTCACTAAAACAGTAACCCTCGTAATAACCGATATATAAAATAAGTATAAAAATAATTCCCGTCGAACTTGGTTGTTTTTCTTTTTTACACAGAATGTTACGGATCTTTCCGTTTTAATATTCCCCCGAGTCAGAATTTACAGAATGGATCTTCGTGTAAAATACCGATCCACAAAAGTATCGTGTCTCTTTTTACCCTCACGATTTATACGTCGATTCGAAACTTTCACTGTTTAGGGACCGCGCGTTAAATATCACTTGAGCCTCTCTCTATCTGGTTTTCAGTTGCAATATGGGCACGTTCTTCAAATTGTTTTCGGTGTACCATGGACCAGTGTTATTCCGTGAATAAAATCACCAGAGATACACTCGCGATTTTATCGACATATGGATCGTGCGTATGGAAGTGTGTTCGATCGGATGATTTATTCGGCGCAGAGAGAGGTGTGTTTAGACTGGTTTTGTGCCAGTCTCTGCGTAACCGAACGGGTAATATTGCCGCGAAGAAGCCCGGACCGGGACTGACTGACTGTCGGCCGTAGGATTCATTTGGGTCAGCGGCACAACTTAGTATAGCGAACGCAGGGCTATGGACTATACTGTTGTCTGTTTTACACAGGCGAAGTGAAGGTGCTCGTACGCGTGGCTATAACGGAGCTGTCTTCGCGGCACGATTCGATTTTTCTACGCGCGGTGATTCTGTGATTAGTTTTCACGTGGTAATAAGCACCTCGTGAAATTCCGATGAACTTTCGATAAAATAAGGGAGAAGGAACAAAATTTTTCCAGCCCCGTTCTAATTGAGAGAACAGAATTATCGATAGATTCTTAGAAGTAGCCCGTTTTTCCCTGTAGTAAGTCGACATTTGGAGTTCAGATCCATTCGAAACTTTATTGTATTTATTTTAACGGGAAACTTGAACTATGAACAATATACGTATTGGAATAAAGTTTAAATAACTTCACATCTCTTAAGCAATCCGTTCTTTTCACAGCAGAAGGCTGAAACTTACTAGCCCCAAAACAGTTAGGCAACGTGTGTTACAGCAATGTTTGTATTAAGTCTGCCGGTGATTATGAAAGTGGTTTAAGTCAAAAATCTTAAAAAATTGAACGTATCACTTATTCAGTGTTAGATCGATTCACGTCACAATAATATGAAAGCATTGTTGCAGAATATTATTTAATCGACTTAGGCCACTTTCATAATCACCGGCGTAAGTAATAATAATTGAAAACTTAGGGGTGTGTTGTTAGCATGAACAGAATAAAGGACGCAGGAAGAGTCGGGCTAGAAACACATCGCACAGTTTGGAAAATTATCCTAACATTTAATCCTGACATTAAACATTTAAATCCTATCCGCTAACAAGTCTGCTTTGGCTCACATCCACGCATCTGTGTTGAAAAAAATAATATGTACATATAGAAATATAATACATAGCTGTCTCACTCTCCACCCTCCACTGGCTCATAGGAAAAAATATTTTCTCTCGTGTAAGGTATATGTATATTCACTTCGTCGATCACTGGTCTAATACGGACGATCTCAGGACTGGTAATGCAAAGGCATGGTGGTCTGTGGTTTTAGTTCCACGTATTGGGAATAGTCAAGTTGCAGGACGACGTAGCGACTGTTTACGAAAGCCCTCTTGAAGGGGTAAGCGTTTCCTCGGAACAGCACTGGGCAAAGGGGCGGTTTTCCAATAGCCTTCGCGGTCCCGTAATCGATCATGTCCCAGAGATCTATCATTTGGCAGCCAACTGGTCTGGAAATAGAAAGCACCCTTTCACGTATCACTTAAAATCTCTTCTATCCTCCAATAACTTAGAATTGTTTAATTACAGATTGGCAAAGCCAAAGCACAATGGCTCCTCCAGTATAACGTAGCCGACCCGCATGTCCCTCAGAGTGGAGTACACCGAAGAAACGTCTTTTCTACTAAAGACCTCGTATACTTTCATCGTCCGATCCCTGAAGCATAGAATAATTAATAGCAAGTGAACAGAATAGTAGAAGATCCGTGAAACGGAAATGCACCTCATCTCCTTGTTCTCGTAGTAAGGGTTGTTAACGATAGGTCTGCCCGTGGACAACATCAGGTTCGCCATTAGTGACATTTTTCCAGCGAAGACCGCGTGTTCTGGAGTGTTGTTCTTTATCCATTCGAACAACTCCTCCTGCTCGATGTTACTGAATTCACCTACAACGCGAGAATACCAGATCTAACGTCTAACGGAGATAGGTACCTGAAAAGTTTTTCGATTTTCCCACGATCTTACCTATGACACTTCTTTCTTCCTGAAGCCTATCTAGACCATGATAGGACATCGCAGATATTAACAGAATCACTATGGCAATTTTCATCGTGTCTTTCCTTAATCCAAGTTTGTCTAAATACTTGCTCGCGCAGACTGAGCCCCCTATTATGCAGAGATGGGGGTTCATGAACAGTTTCAGTCTCATAATAAACACTGCCATGAGTATAAAGGCACCAGTCTGGAGGCCGTTGTAAGCTAGATCAGCTTCTATACACTTGGGGTATCCTTTCGCTTTGTAATTTCTGTACCAGAAGTAGACTGCCAGGATTCCGCCTAGCACGGCGCTTGGTAATAGTAGTGTCTTTATAATAGCGTCGTAGCTTCTGTATGGTAGGAAATCGAATTCAGCTGAACACGTGTACAACATTGTGTGAAAGTCCTTGTAACTGGTCAGTTTCGCCACCAATATATTGTATACGTGTGCATCGTCCTCGTATTTGAACGAAATGGAAGCTTTTAAGAACGTTGTGCTAACCGTTACCAGTACAATTTCCAGAACTGTTAATAATTTTGTACCAACGTATCGAGACTCTGGTAAACACATAACGGTGCTGGTGAACATAAGGCAAAGGTAAAGAGAACGAAGTAACGCGGCATCATCGGTTATACTCCTTGTTATCCACGTAGGCCACGCATGAATTACACAAATGCTTATATAGAAATTATTCGGTATTATTTTCATCCATTTAAGTATAAGCATCGCAATGATCTGTGTGGTAAACACAAAATGGGAGAATTGCCAACAACACAGACTGATGAATGTTGATAAACCCATTTTCTGAAAGTATTTGATACAAGTTATTTTCTAAAGAATATTTTCTGCTTCCGCTACAGTACTCGATCAAATGTTTCAACGCACTACGCATAAATCCATAGGCAGTACTCTCCATTCTTTTTTGGTACCTTCTCGAAGAATTGCAGTTAGCATATACATTTGACACAGTATCGCTGGGTATGCAAAACTTTCTCGCAGTGGTGGAGTCCACTGAACACGAGTGCATTCATTGTGATTGTAAAAGAAGAATAGTATCGTGATAATTCCACTGCTCACACTGTTGCTCAGGTACACAGAATAATAAAATAGTATGGCTGCAGTAAATACGGTACTCAACCAGACAATTTCTAAGTAAAAATACACAGGTACTCCAAGGCCTTCACAGCTGGTTACCGATGGCACACCTTCTCCTCTTTCTATCTGAAAGGGATGCTTTTCTGGTCACTCTAGAGGAGGATGGTTCCTATAGTTTCTATTATACAAAGAGTCATCTTATAATCAATCTTCTATATAATATTCAAAAAGTTTAATTTTGAAGAACTTAAACATGTGAGCATCATAAGCGTCTAGATATTAATCCTTCAGTGGTAATCCCTTCAAGATATTTGTATATTCTATTAATGTATACATATTTCATAACTAAAGTGTAAACATAAATTTACTCTATGTGAATAATTCATCCTTTAAATTATATCTGTATGTTATAAATCACTTTGCGTATTGGTCTAAGCAGTAGAAGTTAGAATGATCACATTTTAATAATGTTGTTATAAAGTAGGAAGTACAAAATTGATAAGCTTGAGGAATTAAGTGCTCTTACAGCCAGACTCTGTATACAAATTTAATATAAATGAGTCTCACTTGCCAACACTCCTCTATCGATATGATTCCAAAATCCTTGGCACAATGATAAAGCCATCCGGCTACCAGCTGTAAACCATTAATTCTTATTGCTTCCCACCCTCATCACCTAGCAAACGAGAGTTCACCAATCGGAGTACAATACCTCTGGCAGCAAGCTATACTTCCTACCGGCATTGATAACATTCCCATACTCCGAAATGTTATCGTGGCTAATCTTTCTCCAACCGTCCATGAATGTCTCCGATTCCGCGATCGTTTTGAAGTACGAGTAATACATTCCCTGCGAATGTGAAAAAAAGAAAAGGGAATCATACCTACCCATCGTAATGAGAATTCGACCAGCCTTTCAGAATTCTATCAAAGTTCGTACCATTTCCGTGCGGAAGGACATTTCCCTCTCGATTTCGGACAGGTGCGAGAAGTGCCGGTCATTTTCGAAGAGCGTATTACACAATTCGGTACTGTATTTATACAAAAATTGCGTGCACTATCAGTCTCTTTTAATCAGTTGTCTCGCACCTATAAGATTCACGGCGAATTTGTATAAATACATATTTTAACGACGCGTTTCTCAGAACCACAGACCAGATATAGAATAGAATTGACATCCAATATAATCTTGTGTCTCATGCGTTGTGGGTGATCGTGGACTCCATCTACGGCGAGCTCTAAAGCCAGTTACATATATGTAGTTATCACTAGAGCTGGCGTGCAAAATCACTAACGGTGATGCAATACGTCAGTAATTAAGCATTTAAAATGAACGTCATTAGTCTCAAATTGTCCCTCAGGACTTAATGCATGGACCCAATAGTGAAGAACCCCTAAATTAGTAAAATTAGTTATGCTTGTATTCGGTAGCCCCTTATGGGGCGCTAACCCTAATTGCAAAATATTTCAAAGACATTTACACCGCTAAACGGGCATGATTCTTCTTCGTTTTGCATTAGATAAACGTATAATGAACGTAGATTACTATTTTCTAACGGTTGGAAACCAGTAATTACAAGAACATTGTTAAAATCACATTTGTTTGTAACGGTTGACACTGTCTCTCGTCATGCGTACCCCGGTTAGTTCACATTGAATAGCTCTTCCAACGTTATATGACCAGGTTACATCTTGATCAAGCATTCAGTTTAAAGCTGAAAGAATGTAGATTAATCTCCAGTCATTGAAAATACCAATAAACGACCAGAACACTGTTAAAATCGCATTTAATTGTTGAATACCACTATTTTTTTGACTGGTGGCGCCACCCGTGGCAATTCGCTCAAACTGCTAGCCAAATTATACCGACAGGTAAGTGAAAATTTAAGCAGATGGAAAAACGCGAATTTCTCATTAATTAAGAGATACACACGAACGTTGTTAGTCTCAAATTATTCCTGAGAACTTACTGCAACGACCCAATGCTGCAGAACCCGAGAATAAGTAAAATTATTTATGGCAGTATCAACGCTGACCCTTATGGAACGACAACCCGGTTTCAAATACGTTTATATCGCATTTACACCGCTAAACGGGCATGATTCTTCTTCGTATTGCATTAGATACAACGTTCAAAGAACGTAGATTACTATTCTCTAACGGCTGGACACTAGTAATTACAAGAACATTGTTAAAAACGCATTTGTTTGCAACGGTTGACTCTGTCTCTAGTCATGCGTATCCCGGTTAGTTCATTTTGAATAGCTCTTCCAACGTTATATAGACAGGCTACGCCTTGATCAAGCATTCAGATTGAAGCTGAAAGAACGTAGATTAATCTCCTGTCATTGAAAATGACAATAAACAACCAGAACACTGTCAAAATCGCATTTAATCGCGGAATACCACTATTTTTTCGACCGGTGGCGCCACCCGTGGCAACTCGCTCAAACTGCTAGCCAAATTATACCGACAGGTGAGTGAAAATTTCTAGTGATGGAAAAATGCAAATATCTCAGTAATTAAGTACTTAATATGAACGTAATTAGTCTCAAATTGTTCCACAGGACTTAATGCATCGACCCAATAGTGCAGAACTCCTGAATTAGTAAAATTAGTTATGCCTGTATTACCGTAGCCCCTTATGGGGCGGCAACCCTAATTGCAAAAGATTTCAATCGCATTTACACCGCTAAACAGGCATGATTCTTCTTCGTTTTGCATTAGGTACAACGTTTAAAGAACGTAGATTACTATTTTCTAACGGTTGGAAACCAGTAATTACAAGAACATTGTTAAAATCACATTTGGTTGCGACGGTAGACACTGTATTACGTCATACGTACCCGGGTTAGATCACTTTGGTCAACTCTTCCAACGTTATGCTGACAGCTTCCGCCTTGACAAGGCACTCGATTTGTAGCTGAAAGAACCTACATTAATCCCCTGTGATTAGCAATAACAATAAATGTCTAGAATACTGTCAAAATCACATTTGTTTGCAACGGTTGACACTGTATCTCGTCATGCGTACCCCGGTTAGTTCAATTTGAATAGCTCTTCCAACGTTATACGGATAACTTTCGTCTAGATAAAATACTGGATTTATAGCTGAAAGAACGTAGATTAATCCCCTGTCATTGAAAATAACAATAAACGACCAGAACACTGGTAAAATTGCATTTAATTATTGAATACCACTATTTTTTCGACTGGTGGCGCCATCCGTGGCGAATCGCTGAAACTGCTAGTCAATTAATTGGCCTGGAGTTTGAGCGATTCGCCACGGATGGCGCCACTAGTCAAAAAAATAGTGGTGTTCAATAATTAAAGGCGATTTTAACAGTGTTCTGGTCGTTTATTGTTATTTTCAATGCCAGGGGATTAATCTACGTTCTTTCAGCTTCAATCTGAATGCTCGATCAAGACGTAACCTGTCCATATAACGTTGAAAGAGTTATTTAAAGTGAACTAACCGGGGTACGCATGACTAGAGACAGAGTCAACCGTTGCAAACAAATGCGATTTTAACATTGTTCTTGCAATTACTAGTGTCCAGCCGTTAGAGAATAGTAATCTACGTTCTTTAAACGTTGTATCTAATGCAAAACGAAGAAGTATCATGCCCGTTTAACGGTGTAAATGCGATCGAAATATTTTGCAATCAGGCTGTCGCCTCATAAGATGTTACGATAATGCAGGCATAACTAATTTTATTAATTAAGGGGTTCTGCACTATTGGGTCCATGCATTAAGTCCTGTGGGACAATTTGAGACTAATGACGTTCATTTTAAGTGCTTAATTACTTAGATATTTGCATTTTTCCATAATTAGAAATCTTCTCTCACCTGTCGATATAATTTGGAGCGACAATTCGGTTGCCAAAACGTATCTATCGCATTTGAACCGCTATATGGACATGATTCTTCTTCGTTTTGCATTAGATACAACGGTTAAAGAACGTTGATTACTATTCTCTAACGGCTGGACACGAGTAATTAGAAGAATAATGTTAAAAGCGCATTTGTTTGCAACGGTTGACATTGTCTCTCGTCATGCAAACCTCGGTTAGTTCATTTAGAATAGCTCTTCCAATGTCATATGGACAGGTTACGTCTTGATCAAGCGTTCAGTTTGAAGCTGAAAGAACGTAGATTAATCCCCTGGCATTGAAAATAACAATAAACGACCGGAACACTGTTAAAATCGCATTTAATTATTGAATACCACTATTTTTTGGACCAGTGGCGCCATCCGTGGCGAATCGCTCAAACTCCTGGCCAATTAATTGACTAGCAGCTTCAGCGATTCGCCACGGATGGCGCCACCAGTCGAAAAAAATAGTGGTATTCAATAATTAAATGCGATTTTGACAGTGTTCTGGTTGTTTATTGTTATTTTCAATGACAGGGGATTAATCTACGTTCTTTAAGCTACAAATCGAATGCTTGGTTAATACGGAAGCTGTTAGTATAGCGTTGTAAGAGTTGTTCAAAGTGAACTAAACGGGGTATGCATCGCGATATATAGTGTGAACCGTTGCAAACAATAGAGATTTTTACAATGTTCTTGTAATTACTGGTTCTCAGCTGGTAGAGAGTACTAATCTGCGTTCTTTAAACTTCGAATGTAATGCATGACGAGGAAAACTGATGCTCGTTTAGCGGTGTAAATCCGATCAAAACCTGTTGCAATTGGGGTTACCACTCCATAAGGGTCTTCATTAACATATGCATAAATAATGTGACTAATTCTGGGTTTCTGCAGTATTGGGGCTAATTTGACTGTAACACTTAAAAAAGTTTTGAGGTTCCATTTATATCATTGTCCTGTGAAAATGTTCATAGTTCTAGCAGCATTCATATTCCAATCGAAGAATTTACAGAATAAGGAAAAGGAATCTAAAGTAATTTTCCGTATTTCCATACATCTTTATATCGAATAATTTTCTAAAATATTCAAAGTACTAGACATTTTTAGACTTTGAATCTCATATCGATTTCTAAAATAATCCTAGTTCGATGTAATATAGAACGCGGTTTTATGAGATAGATTCGAAGTTCGCAGCCATTAGCTCGATATTGTCTTGAGTTTACAGTACTTTACCGATGATAATATCGATTGCCCAGGCCTCACCACGAGGAGGTTGCTGCGAGTGGAGGCCCAAGGTAGATAGATGGAATCACAAGTTCTACATCTACCCACCTTTCACAATACACCTTATAAATAACTTAAATCTTAACCATCTAATACTATCGGTACCAAAATCCTTCGGCGGATGACTTCTTTTTTGAGCCTAATAATACTCAGAATTCATGCTTCACCGGTAACGTCGGGTATTAACACTAAAATGGTAACAGGGTTACGTAGCCCTATGAACGTGGAACAGAAAAAAGCATTGGATGATAGGTCTATTCTATACCTAGTCGGTGTTAGAACCCCCGGAGCATGCGTAAGAGCCACCGTGTGTGTAAGTTGAACTGTGTAACTTGGTAAGGGGTTCTATAGCCCCCGAAGCATGAGAAGAACACTATATTGGATGTTAGGTGTATTTTATATCTTGCCTGTGTCACTATCTTCAAGCTTTGTCACTTTCCATCGCTGCCTTGGGAACTGCTAGATTTTGATCACGTGACTAAGACATGGCGCAATGATCCGCGCTATTTCAAAATGTCTGTCGATTGGATGTACAAGGGTCTTTTATCAATTTTGCTACAGAATACACAATTCCAGTTGTGCTGATTTTTATGTTAATGCGTTAAGGATAGAACAATGCGATTACAGTGAAAGGATTCAGTCATACATTGTCTCAAAACAGTGATAAATGTATAGCCATACTGAGAGGAATTTTAAGTACATAACCAGTCAACATTTGTACCCAAATAAATTCCGAATTTTAACAGAAAAATGTCATAAATATTCATGCAATTGGAAAAAGCCTTAAGCAGTAAGTAATAGAAACAAATATACGAATCGAATATGATTTGCAATTTTACTAATTTTAGCATAGACAGAACACAATCTTCCAAGTCTACATCCATAGCAATCGTATTTAAGATTTCTGATACATTTCAGAGGCAACTGTACGTTCCTTTTTATCCAATATACAGGTTCTTTCCGTTTGTAGCATTGCGAGTCGTCGAGTTATCCATAAGCTTTCTACGAATATTCAATTCTCGGAGAAAGGAAAATGATTTTTCCAGGGCAGCGGTTCTTCCTACGGCCCTGGATGCGCGCGTATAGCCAAGCGTGCATTGGCACTCCCGCTATCGATCAGTCGCGTGTTAGTCCACCGTGACATGGAGGATCTCCTGCTGCAGATCGTCAGGGAGTCCAGCAATGCGAAGCTACAGAATTTACGGAAATCGGCGCAGGAAGCGCACGGTATGTCCATTTCGTCCATACAATTACAAACAATTGAATTCTACCAGAATATTACCATTGAACACCTTCTCCACTTGGTTCAATATTCTCAATAATTACCCTCGGTTAACACCTCTTCCTCCAACGTTCGTTTATTATTTTACAAATTGTTGAATTATAAAATGAAACGTCCTTTAATACCATATGTGTCATTTGTGATCTACGATGATGTACACATACACAATAGCTATCATAGTTTAACATCACTGCATCCACCCATTATGTTATCTTTTTATGATTTTTACATTACAGAATTTAATGATCAGTCTTTTTTTCATTAATGTGAAAAAATTTGATTATTAATTTGGTACAGTCTGTAAATGGTTGCGTTATCTTCTCTGCAGATTTCCTGGACAAGCAGCAAGGGTTGCTACGCGATCCACCCCACGAGCTGCGGGCAAAATGTCTACACACATTTCAGCTAGCACTGGAGACAAAGCGAAGCAAATTCGTCGCGTTCGGTCTCTCGGGATTACACGTACGTGGCGAAATGAATATTAATGCACTCATCGACACGTTATTTTCTTTTTTTTTTGCGGTGTCGTGTACGCACACGTAAAACACACATCCGCCCGCGGGAAGGAACTTCGCGCGATAAAGCTCGGAGAGATATCGACTGAACAGCTGTGACCCTCGAAACTTTACTTGTCTAGGTGCTCCATATTACATGGCATAACTATAAAACCCCCTTAAAATTTTAAGTCCTTATATATTGTGGTTAAAATAAAAACGAACCACTTTTTTTTCTAGGGAATAGAATCTATACTTTTCTAAAGAAACATTATTTCTCAACAGGATTTCAGATATGTGATACTTGGTTCGTTTTTATTTGAAATACAATACATAAGAATTGAAATTTTTTGTGTGATTTTGTAGTTATACCATGCAATGCATTAAAGGAAAAATGTAATTATTTTTTCCAAATTTCCGCAGCTAGGAATCTGGAAGGTTCCATTCTATATTCTATTTTAAATAAGCGAAGTCTTTGAGATTTCGTCTCCTTTTTATAATTTCATGGATCGATTTTCTTTTTTCATACGTGTGGTTTACATTCAGAAAATGCTGAGGGACGACAGATTCCAGTCGCCGTACGAGCCAGAGGACGATTCCCTCTGGTTGCCAGCGCAAATGTTGCACGCGATGGGCTCGATTCTGTCGCAGTCCGACGACACTCAGACGGACTTGTTGAAAGTGAGCTTCACAATTACAGACTGAACGTATCGGCTGAAGAAGAAATATAATCTATACGATGGATTTCCCGTAGGTTCTGTTACAAGTCGCGTGTTCCTCTTACTGGACGATGAACGGCCGTTTAATAATCGCGATTCTAACTACCTGCTGCGAGGCTTTCGAAAATGGGAATCAGGCTGTAAGAACCGCTGCTCAAGCTGCTACTAGTCAGACCCTGCGATCCTTCTGTCTCTTTTTAGGTAATTGAAGTGAAAAAAATTGTAGAATTAACGTCGAAACGCCCATTCAATCGAAATGATCCATTTGTAAATTACCCTAAAAGTAAATGTCGCTCGAAAGTTTTGAAATTTTTATCAACTTTTTCCGTGAATGTTATATAGTGGGTGTCCCACCTAACGTGAGCACATTTAGTGTCTCATTTAAAAAAAAAATTAAGACTTAAATGTTTGCTTAGCATAGCATTTGCTCATGCTAACCAAATAATACTTTCCCCTCGCATATTTCTGGTATCAACAGAGAAAGACTCCGTATTTCTAAACGATCTGTCGAGTATATAGTATGCTTGATACATGCAAAATTCTCGTGATCGCAGTCAGACGAATGTTTGATCGATAAAACGGTACCACTCGCGTGCCATCCGATCGTAATCCGCATGATTCCGTGCTCGGCGATCTATTACCCTCGGAACGATTTGTCGGAAGGGTAGCAATTTGACGAATGCACGTGTCTCTGTACAGACGAGGAGTGCCAAGAAATGGACGAGAACGCGAAGAAGAACAAGAACGTCTGGGAACGGGGTGTCTCCTGCTTCAACGAAGCTCTGCCAATTCTCCAGTACATCTGCAGCAAGCTGGACGAGGCTCAAAAGTAAGACGACACGGAACGAATTCCAGCGGAATTCTGCATCGTTTCAATTACAGGAAATCGTGTTCCAGCAACGGAAGAAACGGCAACACGGTCGTGTTCCTGCTGGAGTGTCTGCACACATTGATCTCTTCGTTGCCTCAGAAGATCCACACGAACGGGCATTTCACCACGTTTCTCTGGCAGAAGTTTTGCCCCGCGTTGATAGCTTTCCTCGGTACGCCGAGGGTGGACAAAACGTTCACCTCCAGGGAGGGAAAGGAAAATGAAGTCGGAAGGGGCTCCGGATACTTGGCCACTTCTTTGAGCTTCGACAGCCACCAAGCGAAGACTGTCTATAGGCATGTTGACTGATCATTTTTTGAAATATAATACGATGTAGCGAATAGAAATTATTTTATGGACATTGGAGACCAGATAAAAAAGTCATAGAGATTTGAAGATGGTCATCTGATATAAAAATAGTTTTTTCCCGAAGTCCGAGCCTTAAAGTATACGTTTGACAGGTTCCAGGGTCTCCCCCTCAGTGGTGGGGATTATGTTGACACTATTTCTCATATTTACAGCATTGGAACGGAACTGGTGCGATTGGTAGGCTGCGTGGGACCCCTACGACCAGTTCTAGAATCTGTGTTCCATCGTATGCTACTCTATCCACCTCCTCAGCAACGTCTCGAGCCTCTGAAAGCTCTGAAGGAGCTTCTTCGTAGTCCAAGTCGAATAGTAGACTTTGCCGGGCCGTTGTTAGTGGAGGAGGACAGATCGAGTCATATTCAGAGCGACATGGCGTTAATGAGACTGTAAGTTGATTTCTACATAAGAGGATTATACGAATAATATACCAATGTCTCCGTCTGCTCTCTCAGGGCAATGGACTCGATCGAGGAATCAACGACCGGCGGCCTTAGTATATTGCACGCGAGCGTTTCGTGTGTGGTCGCGATGCTTTCTGCTCTTCAGGAACTGTGCGAGGGCAAGGCTATTAATCACACTTACACGTGCACGATCAATAGCCTCTACGAGGACCTCGAATCCTGCGACTATAGGGGACCGCTGACCTACCAGAGCATGGCTAGGCTGCCAAAGACGTACAGGTGAATTTTAAATTACCTATTCTGGAAGTTCTTGTGTCAAATAGAGCAACATGGTAGTGGGGATGCTTTGAGTTTCTTTAATTCGAAGTAGAATGGTTGTACCAATGTGGACCAAAGTCGAATCATCTGTCGTTGATGTTCAGAGAGCAACTGGAGCTGATGAAGAAGGGGATAGGCTCCGATTCCGACTCCTCAGGTCACGGACCGTCAGAGGATGGCGACTCGACGGACACAGAAGGACCTCAGAACGACTCAGACGAGGTCCAAGAAGAGAACAGCCTGGAAGACAATGAATACGCAATGGAGAACGAAAGGGAGAGGCTACGTTTAGAGAAGCTCCCGAAGTGTTTACACGTGGGCAGACAGGTAGCTGATGAGTGCAACGTGGACGTGGAGAGGCACAACGCCAGAAAGTTCGTGAAGACACTGAAGAGCGATCTGATTCCTATGGTGTTGAGCCTGAGAAGCAACATAGAGGTCGACGAGGCGTTGCAGAACTTTGCCTCGGAGTATTGTCAAGGTACGTTTGTTTAAATTTTACACCGAATCTTTTTCTAACACGATTTCTGCTTAACCTTCAGGAGTCTTTGCGGCTCAACAAAAGATCCAGGAGCAGACTGATGTTAGTACTGACTCCTGTGCTTTGATCACTATCATGAACGCTGATGGAATTTACCTGGCCACTTATGCAGCCTTGCTTCTGAACTTGAAATTGATTAGGATCAATTACTATCACGAGGAAAGTCGTCAGATTCCTATCAGCGAGGTATGCAGAGTAAAAGTAATACTTCTTCCTGCAGGCATTGATCGATTGTTGTATTCTTCAGGAACAATTTGTGGAAGAAGTGCATGGATCAGGAGTTCTAGTTTATCTGTCCGCGACCTGGTTGTCTGAACTCTATCAACAAGTGTTGGCTAGCAATCTGCTCGAGAAATGTGGTTATAATCGTCACTATACTGAGCATAGTGCTTTGATAAACGTTCTCACCGGTGAGTAAATGGTCTGATAAAGACTTAAAGAAATGAACCTTAATCGAGACTTGCTCCTTTTTAAGATGTCGACGGAATTCCTGGCAGCCAAAGGGGTGGACAGCTTCTCTCAGACTATATAAGATTAGAAAAAGCTCAGTTATCCCGAAGTGAGCCTACACCAGAAGCTGAAGCAGGCGCCAAGCTGTCTAGAAGAGTTCTGACTTGCTGCTGGGGAAGCATGATGACTGTTTTGACAACTGGACTGAATCCTCCGAAAGAGGAGAATAATAAAGGAATACTGAACAGAGATGGCGGTAGAAGAGGTATCAGAGACACTGTCGTTCTGTCCCTGGAAGGTCTTCATAAAGCTGCGATTCTGAGCAATATACTTGGTCAGTGGAGATTTCAAAAATATTGACGATTTTCTAAAGTCTAGAGTATCTGAAAAATAATTTTCAATCGTTGTTATTTAGGTTTGCAGAATCGTTGTGGTTCGATCTTCGCGTTATTGGCTAAGGCAGCCTGCACAGAGCAGTCTATATCGAAGATCACTCGGACGAAGGATGTTCTGCGTTTAAAATTGCAAAACAGAGCGACGAACATCCACACATCCCACGCGTTGAGCATGGATGTACTCTTGGGAAAAGGCTTGGAGCTTGGGAGCCATGGTAGTGACTGTTGGCCACATGTTTTCACGTAAGATATTTAAATGCAGTGTTGTTCATAAGTATTAGGACACTTTTTCTCGATAATCATTTGAACTCCAAAACACGTTAGAAAATTGTTAAGGACATTAAGTAGCCCAGCGAATATTCAAGCTAATATTTACAGCACTACAAAGTGATGAAAGCAGTGAAAAATACATTATCTATACTAATCTAGAGTAGTATTTATAAAAAAGTTTTGTTCTATAAAAAGCTGCTGTCTCTACGTGAGCAAATTGGAGCACGACTTCTTCGGAAGAAATCAAAATCCATCGTTGCCAAAGACTCAACAGAAGAAGGAAAAAAAGGACACCTCGAATGGTGATGCCAAAGGGAGTCAGGATAGGCTGAGGTTAAATTTCAACATCACGGATGAAGAGGAGACTTGGTAAATCATCCTGAAATTATTTCTTCACCGTTAATATTCATTCTGTGTGATGAATTAAGCTGTATTCCCACAGTGTCGATGTCTATAGTTTCTTATCCAGCCCATACACGCAAAACCCCAGTTCGGACACGATCCCAGAGATCATCCAAGAATCGAACGCTGACAGTCAGTTCAACGGTATCCTTCCCGCTGACTACGCGGCCAAGATTATCTGCGTTTTGTCGCAACAGGTCGACAGACTCTTCGAGAACGCTGCGCTGAAACTGAACCTACGAGCGTTATGCCTGTTCCTGACTGCTCTCTGCAAGGCCAGCAAGGCTCAATTATTTAAGACCACAGATGGATCCAAGGAGAATAAGAGATTCTGGTGGAGGAGGAGCAAGCCCAGAGAGAACGAAATGAACGTATTACTTTTGGCTAGATTGGGGGAGGTGATGTTGAAGTGCGTGAAGAGATATGATGTATATTCTTAATATGTTCCATATTAACCAGAGACGTTTTTTTTTAGGTCTGGAGTATTCTTGGCCCACACTTCATGGAAGCAGCCTGCCACAAGGACCGCAGTATCTCAAAGAAAGCTGTTCAGTGCATTCACGACTCAATGGCAGCGTTATTGAACGAGCAAGTGGAATTGCCACACTTCCACTTCAACGAGGCTCTCTTCAAGCCTTTCGAGAACCTTTTGTGCCTAGAGCTCTGCGACAGCGATGTGCAGGACCAAGTAGGTCATACTTTTGATCATTCCCATTTTGTTAACCCTTTAACGCCTAGACCCTTAACTCGTTATTTTAAAATTATATTTATAATTACTTTGTTTTTGTGTATTACGAGCCCTTTAACGCCCAAACACCTCTTCTGAGGAAATAATTATTTCTCGCGATTAGTTAACTGAGAAATGGTCCCAATATGTGTACCCCATCTCTATTTTCCCGACAAACCCCCTGAAATAATTTCAATTAAAGTTGCAGTAGTGCTGAAATCTCTAAAAAGTACGCTCTATTAGTTACAATATCTAATAAGTATCGAATTCTGAATTATCTTTGAAATTATGATAACATTCGTCTCTACTAGATCGTCAGTTGCATCTGCGAGTTCGTCGAGACCAATCGTACGGAGATCCGTTCTGGCTGGCGACCTCTATTCGGCGCGTTGCGTGTAGCATCGGTCGGTAATTCAGATTCCGTGGAATCTGCTCCACTTCTGGAGGTCTTCAGGGTCTTTCTGTCCACGGACAACACGTTGGTGTTCGCTAATGCGGCGCTAGATTGCATCCTCTGTCTGTTGAGGCACGTGAGAGGTATCGGTGACACGGAGGGCCATCAGGAGGAGCCGGATCAGCTCGATATCGGGGAGTCTAGACGGATGAGATTATGCGTGGAGAGTCTGAAGTACCTGTTGAGCTGCAGCGATATCCTGGCTTCGATGTATGGCATGCCAGCCTGTCCGATCTTCCATTCGGCCCAGAGGATCCAGGTCTCGACCATCCCCCAATACGTCGACCCGATACTACCCAACTCGGAGCTGATCAGATTCGACAAGCACGCTGAATCCATACAAGAGACCATCCCAGAAAGGCCGTACGACGTCCTGATGGATAACGTTCATACGAGCACGACCTTGCAGAGCATGGACAAGCCCAGTGGCATCCTTCGAGTCTGGTACATCCTGATCGAGGGACTGGCCAGTGCGACGATGATCTGTCCCAAACGCTACCAGCCTCACACTCTTGAGACACTCTTCCATTTACTACGGGACACCCTGAACGTCCCTGGACCATCATTCGGTCTGTATTGCGTGAATCATCTGCTGCTACCGATGGTCCAGAACTGGCTCCGTAAGACATCGAAGATTTTCAGGGGATGGGACAATTTCGCGCCCAACTTCAAGCAATGCTGCGGCCTCACGACTGACCTGGTTGTCGATTATCTGACTCATTTACAAGGTGATTAAGAAAGATTCCTTGAGTAGAAGACAAGATGTATAAATGGATAATTGTAACTGTGGGTGGTTCTAGGGCCTGAAGTTGTTCGAAATGACGCTTATCTACCAGCCACGACGTTGATGCTGAAGCAATTGCTACTGGTGATGGCAGAGTGCGTCGTGCAGCCCACCGAGAGCATAGCTCGATTAGGCTGCGCCTGTATTAGGTAGGTAGCCTTTGGATTCATTCTGATCCCTCGGATGTTAACTCGAGTCTTCGATAACTATCTCTGGACACCGTTAAAAGTTCCATCTTGTTAATTAAGTAAGACACTATTCACCACGGTATCTAAGTCCAGAATTGAGGAAGGCTAGATTTTGCATTAGCTCGTGGCAGGAGGGGGGACAACCGATCAGAGGAAGGGTGAATCATAACGCGGAGGTTCGATGGAATGTCCATCGACGGAGGTTAGATATATCGTCGTTACGGGCGTAGCGTGCGTGTAAGATGATAACGAAGCTTGACAGGCTGTCCGGTGGGATAAAGTAGCCACCGACACTCGACACCCCCGGAGCGTCG